AAAGGCAGAGCTTTTAGATACTTTTCATGGACTGTCTTCTTCTTTCTTGATTTGGCTCAATCTTCATTGCAGAAAGCAGATTCCTTTGCATTTTTCTAACGATATTTTAGTAGTAAGCAGAGATAAATGCGCGTCGGAAGAAGTAGTGGCCAGAGGCACATGGTAGATATGGTCAAAGAAAAGAGTAGGGACTGCCACAATTCCTTTGCATTTTTCAATTTTGCACAATTCCTTTGCAGATTCCTTTGCATTTTTTTAACGATTCTTTAGTAGTAAGCAGAGATAAATGCGCGTCGGAAGAAGTAGTGGCCAGAGGCACATGGTAGACATGGTCAAAGAAAAGAGTAGGGACTGCCACCATCTTTGAATCACATGACAACAACCGGAAAGGAAGTTGCCATCTTGAATTTTCCCGGAAGTGACATAGACGTGTTTGAAAGATCTCCTGCATTAATAATTTAAGATGACATAGACGTGTTTGAATGATCCCATCCATTACAGAAATAATTTTATAGTTTAATTATTCTTTTTTTATTTTTTGTGGCAACAACATAATTTTTTCAAAATCCCGTTTTTGTGACAACGATGAATACTTTTTCGATTTTGTGGCAACAAGCCTCTTGAATCATGTATTTGGGATGACATTAATTTTCTTTTAATAATTTAATCTGTCATTATTTCTAATTAATTAATCTGACATTATTTTTAGTTATTAAATCTGTCATTTTAAAATTATTGATCTGTAATTATATTTAATTTTTTTCTATTATTTAATATTTTTCATTTTTAATTTATTCCAATATATATTTTAATAACAACACATTTTTCATGAAATTTGAAAAAACTGGAATTCAGTCCTTTACCTACAAGATAAGAGTTGACGACTGCCGAGCTACAGAATGCGATTTTACGCTTTTTATGTTCTAGTCAGTACCCTGAGGGATTTGTAATTTTTCTCTTGGCAGTTTTCATTTAAACGATTTATTGGAATTTATTAATTTGAATATAAAATTTAATTATTTTATCTGTATTATATAACTATTTGACCTGTGTGAATTTTAATGCATTAAATACTATGCGTTTTTTTAAAACAACAAATTTTTATTGCACAAACTTTTGATCTTCTAAGCAAATATTCGCCGTTCTCAGAAATATCGATCACTTTTATAAATGGTCTTCATAAGAAGGTTCCTTGCATTTAATTTGTTTTTAAAACAGAAAATGGAACATATATTTTCCCCTTGATAAATAGTATTCGACTATGTGGATATATATAGCTGGAAACAATAATGATATCTTACAAAAAATTATTGCCTTCAATTATTTTTAATTAATTTACTTTTACGTCATTGGGATTATCATTTAAGTATAAAATTATTTTTGAACTTTTATTTTAATTTTGAGTTTATTAGTTAATGGATTACGATTTTGTGAAAGTTTCTATAAAACTTTAGGTATGCTCGATCAAATTTAAACTTTTCACAAATAATATTAAGTCAAATTACATATTGGCTCGTCTTTTTAATTGACAGAAGCAACACAGATTAACTTCTTTACAGTTGATTCTTCAGTGTAAAAGAGTTAGTAAGAGGGCTTTGTACGAGAGCTATTCACAAAACCCTGTACAGCCAGCTACGCGGCGAGAGATAGTGCTAGTATCCCCATCTTGGTGTCGGACGTGTCTACTGAATCCTTTTATTACGCATCCGGTTGTAATCGTTGACGGCAGATATTGCCTCTGCTTTGTTCACTGTGAATGTTTAAAATATGTGCGGCTATAGAAAGTCCCGCCAGTTGTGAAATGCGATCAGTGATTAGATTTTTGTTAAAAAAAAAAAAGAACTGAGATAAATTGAAATTTATCAGGAATTGTGTACGGTGTATGGAAATGACGTAATGAGTGAAGACGGTGTGAAACAATGGTGCATCACGTTTAAAAATTGTCCCCCAAATTTTCATGAGGAAACGAGAAGTGGCCGGCCGATCATTGTTAATGCTGAACTCGTAGAGAAAACCGATGAAAAGATTCACGAAATCCACCAAATTTTGGACTTTCTTCAAATTTCATGAACTTTATTATTTGGTGTTGTGACACAAGATATAGGCTATCACAAGTTTTGTACCAGATGGGTGCCAACACTCTTGTCCGAACACCACAAAAAGCAGCACATAGCAGCAACTTTGACATTACTCGAGGCGTACCACGAACAGTGAATCACTTCTTGATCGTGCCGTAATAGGAGACGAGACTTGGGTAACGTTCGTCACTTGTGTGTTCCTGGCTTGATACACAGCTCTTCGACGATGACGAGGAACTGCATGCAGGCGTCTGTTGCATGGCTGAAGTCTGAGGCGGCAACTTTCTATGACGAGCAATTAACAAGCTCGTGTACCATTATGTTGAGTGTCTTAACTTATACGGAGTTTATATAGAAAAATAGCTGAATGACGTGCCTTTCAAATGTAAGTAATAAAACTTTTTTTTTTTTAATTCTAAAACGTAAGTTACTTTCTGAATAGCCTACGTACTTTTTCTTCCGTCACTAAATCAATGATTTTCACATTTCTTAGAATTTTTAATAGAACATGAGAGATTAAACAATTCAATTTTTGGATGTAGGATATTCTTGGATATATAAATACGTCACAGCGTATTTATAAGACATTTTTCTTTTACAGCTTTATAAAATCGTTGAAGTTAGGGCATTCTTAGCAAATTTTAATCTAGTTATTCCTTTGTGATTAGTATTGTTATTCGAAGAAAAATTTCAAATAAGAATTAAAATAACTGCTCATTAATATCATACATTAAAGAATAATTTTGTTAATAAAATTATTTCCTCTAACAGCACAACTTGGAAGTATTAACTATCTGTATGATAACATCTCTGAATAATGTAGTTATATAAAATTAAGATCATTGAAAATGAAACTAATGTTTCGAGTATCGAGTACCGCAGGTAATTAATAATTAAAAAATTTATCACTTACAAAAATTTTCAGTTTAGATAAATACATTTAAATTCACGATTGCACATATTACATGAATTTTGAATAGCATAAAAAGTTATTTATTTATTATAATTATATCTGTTATTATAATAGCAGTATAATAGACAGAATTTTCAAATGGGGGGAGGGGATTGCTTACCTTTTTCCAGAACAGAAATGCTTCCGGTAGTTCACTTCGTTAAAAATATATAAAGTTTTGGAGAAAAGAAACTCCCAATTTTTTACACTTTTTTCAAACTCATGCTTTCTTTTCCAGGGAGTCTCATATTAAGCGATTTTTATTAATTCAATACAATTTAATGAATTATTTCTAGTAATACAGTACACAGCAAAATTTGTAGGAAAACATAGTAACTTTCGAAAACGTTAGATCTAATCCGTTACTTTGCAAAAAGAAAATAAAATTAAGAATTTTGCAAAAATCGATGTTCTACACTTTAGAATTTAAAAATGAATAGCGATCATTTTTAAAATTTTAGGCAATGAACCTAAACTATTACATGATGTAAATTAACAATACTTTTGCATTCCCGTCCGAGGGCAACAGTGATACCCTTTTATCAATAGTGAACTTTTTTTTTCTGTTTTTTTTTCTGCTTTGCATTACGATCAAAAAGTAAAATGCATTTATTTTTGATAAACATATTAGAACTATAGTGTAAACCATCGATTTTTGCAAAATAAAACCCATAATGGGCTATGTACTTTTTGCATTTATTAAGTTCTCTTGTTTTATACTTCCTTTTAATCGGTAATTATCTGATTTTTTGTCCAAAAAAAATCAGATAATTACCGATCTGATTTTTTGTCACAGACAGGCACAAAATAAATAAATAAAATAAAATAAGATGTTTTGGCAATGAATGAACTAGCTGCATATGTAACAACTGCCCTATTAAATCATTTTGAATAACATGAATTTAAATTGTTAGATGCCTGAGAATATAAAATGCATTGCAGGGAAAGCATCAAAGTTGTCATGCTCTCTATAACATTCCAAAAAATGTAATATTTTTGCTATACTTATTGACTTAACTGAAATTCGAAATTAATATAAAAAATTATCACTCAAAATTATTTTACTGTGTTTCGTTCCCTCTTTTTGTGCAATATATAGATAATAAGTAATAAATCTCAAACTTATTAGTCCAAAGGGACAATTTTGCCCTGAAGGACTATTAATTTCGTTTTGGCAAACTCCAACTCCAAATACCGTTGTTATGCCGCAATTGTCGTGCAAGTAATGCACGACGTATTCCGGCTGCTTTGAAGTGGTGTTCCACTGTAGGCCTGGAGGTAGACTGATACCTAAGCTGAGTCCAAGACGAATTGCCAAAAGTGTAGAAGGGGAAGTGACCATGGTCACGTGAGCAAGTACTGCTATCGGATTTGCTGGGTCCTTATCTATTAAAATTAGATGAAAGACAGACACAAAATTTTGTGAATAATTTAATAAAATAATTAATCTTGAGTGGAGGTAATCTTCATTTCTCATATCATGCAACTGCAGAGCTGCTTTGCAAGTTTAAAATAAATAAAAAATTTAAGTAGGAAAATCCTGATTGTCTGTAAGGAGGAATGCAGCATAAGTTCGCAGACCACGATCCTCATTTCAAATTTCATAATGGAATGAGTTGAAATGCATCATATGACTGCAATCCAGTGCATGTTGGAAGAATTTCTTGTTGGTCTTGTGCACATACTTGGACAGCGGTTCGATATTTAGATCTTCATGAAGTCTTTTATTTCTGACAAACATGTTAGCATTAGTCATAATTCTGAGGAATTTGTTTTGCACACTTTTTAGTTTTTTTTATGTCATTTTTTGAAGCCGTTGCCCAAGCAGGAGAAGCATATGACATGACAGGTCTTACAGTGGACAGATAAATCAGACTTTTTTTGGCAAGATCTAAGTTTGAATATTTACCAATGAGCGGGTAGAGACATTGCATAACTTTAGTAACTTTACTTGGGATGTGCTGGATATGATGGGTCCAAGTAAGTTTTTTATTTAAAATGACACCCAGATCGCTATCTGGGTGTCATTTTACGCTATCTGGGTGTCATAGCTTGCTTCACGATGGGGACAGGTTCGTTGAAAAGAGTAAGATTTTTCTTAATAGGGATATTTTTCTTTTTCCTTCTAATAATAAAAAGTCGAGACTTGGAAGCATTAATGAGAACCTTCCAGTTGGCTCACTAGGTTTCAATAGCAGGAATATGTTCTTGCAGTTTTCGGATGGGAAAATTACTGTTAGCAGATTTCACAGCCAGCGCCGTGACATCAGGATAACAGGCAACCATATTGTTATTAATGCAACTGAGTATGGGAAAGTTAGTTACACAAAATAAGTACAAAGTTGGATCAATAACTAAACCTTGGGGCAGTTCTGCATGTATTGCTCTAAAATTGGAGAGAACTTTACGAACAGAGACACAGAAGGTGCGTTGAGTAATAAACGAGAGAAGCAGCAAGATGTGTTTTCTATCGAAGCTGAGCAGAATTAGTTTGGAGACTAAACCTTCATGCCAGATGCGGTCAAAAGCTTTGGCCATGTCTAGCATGAAAATAGCAACATTTAGATTAACATGAAGCAACATTTAGATTAACTTGAGAATTCAGTAATCCTGAGTAACTGTTTCGTAGTGGAAAGTCCTTCTCTAAAACCGAATTACTCGGGAAGTAGGAGATGAAAGTAACTCTTCATTCTATTTAAAATAACATATTCAAAGATTTTTACAAGTCCAGGAAGTAAACTAATTGAACGATAGCTGTCCGGCTGCGTGCGTTTCTTTTCAGGTTTCGGGATGAGTATGATTTTTGTAGATTTTCATGGCGTGGGAAAATGCGAAGTAATTAGACAAGCGTTTACAATACTCGTGAGGTTACCGATGATATTTACAGGAAAATGTTTAATAACAGTATTGGAGATATTATAAATTACAGGAGCTTTCGTTTTCCTAAGATTTTGGATAATAATAGAAATTGCCTTAGGAGAAATTAACTTAAAAAGATTCTTGGCTGTGTGACAGTTTAACTAGGCCTGAACATGATAGTGCGAAATTCAAAACCTAGATTTTGGGCCAGCTATTAGGTTGAAATTGTTTTTCTAGATTACTTGCAAAGATGTTAGCTTTAGCGGAATCTGAAATTACAACTTGATTGGGAGAGTTAGGAGGTCTATTGCAGGTGTAGGTGGATTTCATATTTTTAATGAGTGACCTGAGGAACCATCTTTAGTAGTCAGATTTATGAGCTCGTCGTGCCATAAACTGTCCTTATGTGCTTTGATGTCCTTATTTAGTCTGTTAATATCACGTTTAACAGGCGGATCCTAGGTGAGGTAATATAATTTGCGAAGTCTATTTCTTTCCCGCATTTTGCGTCTGATTTTTCCTGGGAGACGATAGAGTTTGTCAGGATTGAAAATAATTTCACTGGCTTAGTTTAAAGCCGAGGTGTTGCAATCCGTTAGCAGATTTACAGCTCTGTCCATTCCAGCACTGTCCTTTAAATCTATAAGTTTGATAGGGCGGCTGTTTAAAATCTTTTCAAAGAGTATCCAGTTTGTAATGAATTTTGTTTTTCGATTGATAGGCTTGGATGCACCTAGTGTCACAACAACAGGCAGATGATCAGGAGAGAGTTCGTATTTTACATCTAGAAACATAGGAATAGTAAGATTAGTTAATAAAATATCCAGAATGTCTGACTGTCCAATTCTGTTGGGTCTGTGTGTGTATTCACTTGGCGCATGAGTGCAGACAGGATTATTAAAGATGTAATCCTCAAAAATTTTGCCATTGGCATTGCTTTGTCTGCAATCCCAAGATGCACTTTTCGCATTTAAATCACCAGCCACAATGGTGGGGGTATCCGAGGGTAGGATGGAGTCCAGTAAATTAAAATTTAACCTATTATGCGGCGAATTATATATTGCATAAAAATTCACATTTTTTTAATCTGGGAGAGTACTATTTACAGATACAATTTCACAATTATGGATTCTTTCCTCTTTTAGGAGACATGAGTGAAGATTACTCTGCGCATAAATCATAACGCCACCGCTTCGGTGGCTTAGTCGGTCACAACGGTAGACACGGTAGTTCGGCACACGTAATTTTTGGCAGGACTGAGCATTTGTTTCCGTGATGAGCTCGATGTCAATTTCCTGTTCAGTGAAGAAGTTTTACAGCTCCTGGATTCAGCTCTGGAGGCCACAGGTACTCCACACTAGGAAGTGAATGTTTGTACACCTTTGAACAAATTTATCCATTAAATGGTGTTACACATTTTGATTCCTGATTTGGTGAACAGTTGTGGAGGGAGCGGAGGGAACTCCACAGCATTGCAGGGAGCAGAATTCCTTCCTTGATTTACGCTGGAGTCATTCGTGCGTCCACGGTTGAATTCACGATTGGCAAAATCACAAAATCGAAGAAAGAATGAAAGACCTCTTTCCTCTTCGGATATAAGTTCTGCCCTTTCCTCTTTTGCAAGTTCGAGGGTGGTGATCTCGTTGGCAATGAATCCTAATAGCTTTCCCATGGCCTAAAATTAAAAAGCAGAATGCCGAAAACGAATTTAGCACTGGTGTGTATAAACACGTGTTTGTATACAGATGTAAACAAACAAGTTATATTTTTAATCGCAAACAAAACTGCAGAGCGTTTCACTAAAAGCAAAATTTGAACTCTCTTGCAACAGTAAACAAATCGCAGTAACAGTCGACTTGAACTGCTAATTCAATAGCAATAACTGAACTAGTTAAAGAGCCTCATTGTATGTCGTTTTGACATTATGCGTTCGTTCGCTATAAATGTCTGATTCAATTTTCAAATTGTTACCGCCAAATATTACCGTCCTGTATTATATTTAAAGAAATTAAATAACGAAGAATCTGCATAAATGTACGTATTTTTCTCGCATTGGGATAAAACAACGGTACTTAGAGCCATCCAGTTTGAACAACGTTCGTTTCCACCCGAATATGGGCATCTGGAAATTCCAATTTGGACTTTGTTTTATTATCGACTTCATAATTTGTAAAATTTTATTGAATTTTTGATTAATAAACTCAGCGATTTAAAAGCGAGCAATGGCAACACTGTACGGAAAAAATAAATAAATAAACATTTTTATCTCCAGCGCGCGGAACTGTGTTTTGGAAATTCTAAAGATCATTTTTAAATTATTTTGCGCTATTGCTGTTGAACTGAATTTTATGGTTTAAGTGCAAAGAGCATGATATTTAATAAATAAAGGTAACATTAATTATGAAATTCTCTTTGAAGATAGAAGCGTCAGACCACTTGCAGCTCACACCTTCATGGGAGGAGATGACAACTTTTTTACTTAGATCCTCAATTGTTAGCTATTTATACTTCCCATGCATCTGATTTTGATTGAAGTTCTTCTGTTCGTTGAATAATTGTATTTAAATTGTGTTTGTATAGTTGTTTTGTATTGTGTTGTATTTAGCACTATGATTGATGTTATTTAATGTATTTGAATTGTCATTGGACTATTGCGTAGTGTATTTCTCGTATTGCTGTCATTGATTTCCATTGTCTTGGGTCCTCTTGAAAGCTATGATCGCTCGTACATTTTGCGAACTTGTCCTTGGATTGTCTTGCTCCTTTTGGTACTTCTCTTCTTCCCCTTATCTCCGTTTTCTCATCTGAGATTTTCTCCACGTCCGGATTTATTTATGTCAAGTGCCTTTGGACTTTAATTCTGGAACCGGCAACATTGCTCTTCGCAATAGCTCGGTCAATTATAGAGTCTAAGTCTAAATCTGCTCTCAGTACTTGCTGTCGTTAGCTGTTAGCTCAGCGTAAGTTCCGAATATGGCTTCTCTCTTTAGCTGCGTCTAGCATTCTGTTGTGTTTAATGTTCATAGTAGTTTGAAGTGTAATCTGTGATATTATGAAGAGTTATGGACTATTTTTGTGGAAAGTTTCAGATCTCTCAAGTGTTTATTTTGTTAAAATAAATTTTATCAACCTATCATCGGAGCTGTGTGCATTCAGTCTATTACGAATCCGTATGCAAGCAACAATAGATATTTAAAGAATATTCAAAGAAGAATACTTTATAGATTTGAAAAATTATACGAATGTAATGCACCTAATTGATAATAACGCAAAATTATGTAAAGGACTAAGAAAGGACGCATTCATAGAGAACATTCTAAAGCAAACTAAACTTGCAGTATTTTCTCTTTACACATGGGTTATATCCTTTATTTCAGTTTAAATAAACGTTCAGATTAGTTTTTTCATAGCTACGGATTTTGCCCACATTAGTTTGCAATGTAAATTATTAGAACAGCTACAAACGTAAAAGAGAAGTATGCAATATCCACGGAAGAACTTTTTTTCAAGCTAAACAGTAAATGTGAAACATAAAATAGAAGATTTATTTTTGATTTAAAAACTCAACGATTTCAAAGCGAGCAATGTACAGGAGGAAAAAACATTTTATCTCCAAAGAGCGAGATTGTCTATCGGATATTCTAAAGATATGCTGTTTTTAAATATTTATTGCTGTTAAATTGAACTTTATGAGGTTTCAATGAGAAGAATATGTCATTTAATAAATAAGGGTAAAGCACAAAACGTTAAAAAATTTCCCCTTTGGGAGTATAAGTAAAGAATTCTGTAATTTTAGAATAGATAAAGAATATAGTTTAGCAAAGATAAAAAATTCTGTAATTTCAGATGTAAGGTCTTAATTCCGTCCGCAAATTAAGGCTTTAAACCTTATTTAGACTGACTGTGACCTGTGAAAGTATAACAGAGTCCTAAGAAGGTTTTTAAAACATCTTTTTATTTCAAACATGACTTTCACAGTTTCTGTGCACAAATTAAAACTCCACCAATTGCTGGTATTAGGTGACGGAAAACTGAATTCACAGATTTAAATCGATTCGTAGGAGACAACATATAACGTATTTCCTTGCGTACTTTTTCCCTCTTTTCCTTAATTTTATCTCCCAAAAATCGTGAGGAGGAAATGATAAGATTCATTTAATTTTTCCGAAACGTGCGGTTACTATAAGAGCATAGTAAAAAGTAGTCGTGGATAAAATACAGGTAACTATCGCAATATTATTTCTTTAAAAGAAACCTTAATTCCAGTCAATCAGATATTAACATTACAATATCAGTAATATTAATATTACAATATCTAATAAGGTTCCTTTGATTCTACTTGAATCTCGCCCTAAAATCGTCTATAAATAATTAGAGATGGTGAATGCTCAGCCGAACAGGCGAAATCTTAGATCGAATTCAGTTCGTGTTTGGTTAGCAGTAATGGGTCGGTTCTTGTAATGGGCAGTAATGGGTCGGCCTAGCATGAAACTCGACAGCTAGAAGCGAAAGGTTCGTGGTAACTTCGAAAATAGTTTGTGAAGGTTTGTCTCTGTTAGTAAGACAAAAACAACCACTACATGAACGAATCCATTTTAAAATTAAGGCGACCTCGCTTTCTGAAAGCACTGACGAAGGGGACTATTCTGCGAATATCTTTAAACTTTTCAGAATTTTGTGCTGAAAAACTAAGCGGGAAATACACGAGAGGGGAAATATGGTAAATGGTCTAACTAAGCATTGACTCAAATTCTAATTGGGCGATTTTAATTTCGTGTTGCAAAATGACTAATGTAGTACCAGAGCACCAGAGCTGAACGAGAAGAAAGTACAGTTGGCGAGCGTCACTGCCAAAAGCTTTATCTCTAGAACGTTAAAAAACTCCGCTTTTAATGGTCGCAAATTCTTTGAATCCTGGTTACAGCTAACGAAAAGTAAAAGTGACAACACAGATTCAAATGGGCTAATTAACATAAATTGTATAAAAGAGAAGCGCATGTTGATTTATATTTAAACATGCGACTGATTTCTTATTGATTTTGTTCCAGGTGCAGCAATTCCTCTCCTTTCTCACGTTACACCTACAACAGATCAGTCGCAGCAGCGAATAAATCCCAACGATTCATCAGGAATTAAATCAGAGCCACCACCTTCCCCATTACTAACACCCGATTCCAGTCCTGGACCACCAGTATCTGGAAGCCAATGGCCTCAGCAAGGATCTTCCAGGAGAGGGAACTTACAATTGTGGCAATTTTTGGTTTCATTACTTGATGATCCCTCAACAAATGGAAACTTCATATCTTGGACAGGGAGAGGAATGGAATTCAAGTTAATTGAGCCCGAGGAGGTAAAACAAAATACGCTGTCAAAAAAACAAATAAGTGAAAAGTTTATTCGTGTGATAAAAGTAAACTTTACACTTCATTTAGTGATGTTTAAATGTATTAATTTGCCATTTTAAGTTTATAGTAGTCTGAAAGTAGTCAAATAGCGACTTTTTTTTTCAAATGGCGGGCACTTACCTATAACGGAATTGGCCACTACTAAGGCCAGAAGTGGTAGCCATTTTATTGTGGAGGCACCTAATAGGCGGCCACCGTTACCTCCTATGAAGAGACAGACAATTTTACATCCAATGCCTTCTCCGGAATTCGAACCCGGGCGGTTTGGTATCGCAGTCAGGCTCCTCTAACCACTATACCGTCTGGGCGGCATAATGATAATATAATGGGAACTAAATTTTAATGCAAGACATGGCGAAAAATTCCCTCAGTATATTCATAAACAAAAGATTCTTACCTAAATAAAGAAAAAGTGTTCGTGTTCTTTCAAAGTAACATCCATCGTTTTTGCAATGTACTTTTATAAAGGAGAGTACAGTTTCTGAAAAGTGCGGAAAAAGTAGTACTCTTTCTGTACCGCATGGCTTTGAATATCTGTAATACCCGAAAATCATTCTATTTTTCAAGATTTCAAGTGTGAGAACAGGAAAAGTTGACTTATTTTAAGATCAGGTGAGTATGGTTAATGATTAAGGACTATCGTTCCTCTACAAATGTTAAGTTTCATGAAGAGGGCCAAATGTGGTCGAGCATTACCATGGAAAAGGAATCAAGAGCTCACCTTGGCCTATCCTGAATGTACATGACGAATCTTTTGCAATAAATCTATCAGAGCATTCTTGCATGAGTTAGAACGATGGATAGTAGCCATTCCCGAACAATACGTTCAGTATTCACACATTTGAAACAAAGATAAATAACGCAATAGATACTTTAATTCAGTGTGGTGGTTGTCAGCAGAATAGGATGCAGAATTATAAGGCCGTGGTTGGAATACCGGTTAAGGGATAGATGTTTTTATCTGTGTTCTTCCATTCGATGTTTTGGTCTTTCTCAACGAATGCTAGTGGTTTTCAATAATATTTTACAGGCGCAAAGAATTTGTGCAACAGAAAAATTCAGTGGAAAAATATCAGAACAAAGCACCATTTCATGTAATATTTTCCAATTTCACAGATCTTGAAAACCTATCACTCTTTCAAATTTTATGTTTAAATATACATATATTGAGTATTTCTATTTAAATATGCATCCGACTGACATTCGACAAAACTAACAATTACTCACATTAAAAACTGAATAGTGATTTATTAAAACTTTAATTGCTTTGTTTGTTAAATAGTAACAGACAGATTAAATTTGGAAAGAAAATTAAATATATTACTTTTTGCCGATGGCAACACGCTGTCGTGTGGAGGAGAGAAGTATTTTGGGCACTATCAACATATAGCTTTTAAATCTCTGAGTTTTCTGAAAATTTGAAGCATAATTTTCTTAAGCTTTGTCGACTAGCAACACACTGTTTTTAAATTACTAAGTTTACTAATCAAAATTTAGGAAAACAAAAGAAAAAAATCTGATGAGTACACCACATGACTTCCTTGTACGCAATATTAAATTATACGCATTTTTTCTTGCATTTCATTTAAATTTATTGGATTGAATTAAATCTACTTCGCCGACAGCGCATAAACCACAATAGAATAAATGCATTCTTTAAAATTCACTCTAGTATTTGTTTACGATAGCGACACTCTGGCGCTAGATTCACTTAACAGTATTATATTTCGTTCATATTATAACTCATAATGCACAAAATTTATATCATTTAAAGAATAGAATTAGCTAATCGTTGCCATATGTTCTACTCAAATACTATAATAAGATAGAATGATATATGAAAGAAATTAAGCAAACAAAACAAAAGAGAAACAGTTTTTCACAGACGATTGAGTATTTCTCATTCAATTAATTCAGCTCTCACTTCGCGAGAAGGCAAAAATGCATAAAAACTCAAAATATCTATATTAAAAATTACGAAGTAAATCTTAAACACTTATTTGCTCGAAAAAATTCCAGAAAGAATTAAGCATGATTTAATTGGCAATAATAAATAATAATAAATCTTTGTTGTTGCGAAGCTAAGTTTCTCTAGATTGGCAACAAATCCACTAGTCTGCTGTTTCAAATGTAAACAATCAATGGCCGCCATAAAAAAAAAGGCTTTGTGGCACTTAAGCAACTTTAAAATTGTTGATAATTCTAAAAATATTGCATACAGATTTACTAAAGGCATAAAAACCTTAACCGGAAGATAAAAACAACATAATTCAATCATTTTTAAAGCAAAAAATGTACAATTTACAAACATATACGAGTAAAGAAACTGAGATCACTGAGCCGGGTAACAGAGTGGGTATATTATAAATATATTTATATACGTTTGGTGGGGCCGATTGCAACCAAAATACGAGGTGCACATCTACATGTTATAGCAGTCCTATATACAAAATTTCAACGTTCTGAGGCTCTCGTTTTCGAGTTATGCGAGATACGTACGTACGCACGTACGTACATATGTTCGTACAGACGCCACGAAAAATTCTCTTCAGAATTAATTTTAAAGCAGTTTTATAATTTTTTTGAAGGAAAAGAGTATTTTATTCTGTCCTTGCGTACAGATATCACGCAAAAACATCGTTAAATTGCATTCGATAGCGGTCAGAATGGATATTTTCGTTGAAATATGCTGCCTGAAACTTCGCGATTACAATACTTCCTTTTTACTTCGTACAAGGAAGTAAAAAGGAGAAAAAAAAAAAAGGAACAGTATATAATGATTTTAGTGAGTTCAGTTAGTGTCATTTCATAAAAATGTTAAATATTTCTAATTAAACATCACTTGATCTAAATGCATTTTTATTTCAATCATTATAAGAAAAGTATTATAGGAAAAGTAGTCTTAGAACTGTGTTTATTGTTTTTAAATCGCTTAGTTTGTTACTCAGTAGCCTTCCAGATTATATGAAAGTTAGCTATCTTTCTAAATGACAACATGCTGGGGGTGGAAAACAAAAGTATATATTTTATTTCCGGCAATACAAACACACTGCTTTCAAATAACCAAATTTTTTTTATTGAACTTGCAAGATAAATATTTTGCCCTCTTTGATAATTGAGAATTTAATAATAACAGCTTATTTCTAAAATATAAATTATGAGTTCAATCGTTTAGAAATAAAATATCTCTTTGCAGGTAGCAAGACGTTGGGGCATACAGAAGAATAGGCCAGCCATGAATTATGATAAACTTAGTCGCTCATTGAGATACTACTATGAAAAAGGAATAATGCAAAAAGTTGCAGGTAATATAATTTAATCCTAATATACACTCATTGTTCACAAAAGGTTTTACCCGATTTTTGATTTCCTAACCGTTGGTCGTAGACATATATAGGGGGTCCCAAAAAAAAAAAAAAAACTTTTGCGGTATATGAAGCTCTAGCGATTTATCTGCTCAACCAATCGAAATGAAATTTCAGATATTGTTACTTGAATGTGTGCGCTCGAGATTGGGATGATTTCAAATAATTACAGTGAAACACGGTGTGAGCCACGATTACAGTTAAAGTGAAAAATTTGACATTTTCAAAGAGCAATACCCACTTGTTTCATGGGCAAACTGATCAGCGCATTAAAAAACCAAAATGGCATTGGAACAATACACGTATGACAAAAATAAGCATTTGCAAAGAAAAGCATTATAATAGACCACTAATAACAGAAGAGAGGACAGGGGGAAAAAACTTTTATTTGAATTACTAGTTTTTAATATTGCGCCTTCACACAGGATAATGTATTACATGAGGAAGATTGTTTACGACAATGACGAGCGTAATATCGCAGGAGGAATCTGTATAACTTCAAGTTTTACGGCATCTTTCAGTTCTGACAAATCTCGTGGATCTGATGTGTACATGTTAGATTCCAGATAACCCCAAAATCAGAAATCCGTCGAATTGAGTCGGGAGATCACGGTTGCCATTAAACTGCAAACTAACGGGAGATAACTATCTCGAAACATTAAGAGGTTATCACATCTAGGGATGGGCTCCGCTAGACGGGACTTTTCTGAGAAACGAGATTCTGGTAGCACTGGTTTTTAAACGGGAGGATTCCTAGAAAAAACAGCTCCGATGGAAGCGAAGTCCCGCCTAGCTACGGAAATGATGTCCCGGCTACGCGGGATATTTTGAAACTTCACCGAAAATGTTTTCGTCTGCAGCTCTGTCCCGGGTAGATATAAACCTATCAGACGAAAGTTCTGTTTCAGAAGAATCACGTGATCCCAATCTGAGCGATAATCGATTACTGTTTGGCGTTCAAGTCTATTTAGTATGTAAAAATGGTACTCTAGCTACGTAGGTGTCGTGGAAATGTGCGGGTTCTGAGAAATGACCCTTTCGATGCTCAATCTCGCGTAGATGAAACTTATGTGTAAGGAACTTTACACACGTTGAAAACTTGTAATTCCAATGAAACTTATTCGCCTCTCCTGCGTTATCATTGGACCTTTAGAATACTCTTCTTTGCAAATGTTTTACGCCAACAATTATCATCATACGTGTATCGTTCCAAACCCATTTATGGTTTCTCAAAGTGCTGATCTATTTGTGCAGGAAAAAAACTGGGTTTTGCCATTCGAAAGTTTTGAAATGTTTTCACCGTAACAGTAACTGTGAGAGCTCTATTGTTTGAAATCATCACAGTCTCGACGCATTGCTTCAAATAACAATATCTGGATTTTCATTTCGATTGGGTGAGCGAATAGACCGCTAAGGATTCATATACCGTTGAAGTTTTTTATGATCATTCTGTACATCCAGCTTACAGAAATGGTTGAAATGAAACAAAGACTCATCTTTGGACATTTTTAAAGACACGAATTTTGTAAAAATTACGAATTTTAACGTTTTATACGATCTTTCGGTTCTTATATGATTGAAAATTTCGTGCTCGTTATAGAAAATAAAACACAAAATGTTTGATATCCGTGCGACAAAAATTGACTGAAATATTTAATTTCAAAATTTGCAATATTTTACTTCATTTTTAATGTGCATTTGGGTGTCGGTAAGTAAATAAAGTAGAACAATTCGATGTTGATCTCCGGCCCTGTAAATGTCATTCTATGATGTGTCTTTACTCATAATTTTTTATATGCCGAAAGAATATTTTTTACAATTTTGTAATTTTTAAAAATCTAAAAGTAGGTTATTAATGTTCTCATGATATATTATTTTAGAATTATAATCTAGCAATCGGGAAAAATTGATTAATTTACAAATATTTTTCAGTTTTAATAAATGCAAATAATATTACGAGTTAGATGCATGCCAATATGGAAGCCTCGCAATGTTTTCCAGAATGCAAATTTTATAAGATTCTTTCCATAAGATCTCCACTGTGAAAAAGGTTGATGATGAATACTATTCACAGTAATCTGCATAAAAGTGCTAGCCACTTAACATCAGAAACCTTTCTCTAAACAAATATTTTATTTTTTAGTTACGTAAATATTTCCCTCTTCAATTTGTGTACACTAAATATATTAATATCGAATATCTGGGTTAATTTTTGCCATACATTTTGTGTTTGAATATTGAATTGTTATAGCAAGAACAAAATTTTCCTAGATTAAGTATAGGAACTGAAGAAAAGTGTCAAAAATTAGATTTCGTATTTTATACTAAATCGATTTCTTTTAATTTAAAAATGCGAAACATGAATATTTCCATCTTGAAATATTCACGAAATAATGAAAATCATTTTTGTAATTGAAATACAGTGGTACCCCGGCATAAGTCATTTATCAATTCCAGGTACTTGGCCGTATGTATTTCAAACGAATTTTTCCAATAACAAAATAAAGTCATTGATTCGTTCAATCCTACTGTTATTATTATAAAACTGTTTTACACTAAAGCGAAAACAAAGCGGATGAAATATATACTGAACGTAAATTAAGCATTTTATATGATGCTGTACATGATTTTTTTCTGATATCCGGATCAAAAGCAATTTTTAAATCTGCTCTGACAACTCTGATCTTTGTTTGCTAATCGACTTCATCTCCTTAGCAAAGCTAGCCGATTTAGCGCCTTTGTTTCTCACAACCGTACTTGGCATACTGTACGCAATAGCCAAGCCCCGGGTATGCATGGCGTCTTCAACAATCTTTTTTTCATCTCTATGGTGATCCTTAAAAACTTTCAACGTTGTTGACTGTTCTCGTTAACTTTCTTGCAACTCATTGTTAATGAATTAACAAAACATTATGCAAAGAAGTATTATTGACTTGAAAATTCAGTTATAGAGCGGGTTGTTTACTGAATATGACCAACAAGCGTATTGACGCTCAGATATACTAGATATAGTCATAGAATTGTCTCGAAAGAGGTAAACAAGTGTAGTTAGTGGCGTAGCGAGGGGGGCAAAGGGGTGCATGAAGCCCCGGGCGCCGCTCGTAGAGGGGCGCCAAATGGTCTCCAAACAAGATTTTTCGGAAAATTTCAGTTTTTATTTTGATCGATTTCTGGAAAATATATTTAAAATTAATAACTATTGTAATATAATTAATTATTTATTTTCTTGATTTGTCTGATAAAATGTGTAATAAAATGTTTGCAGCACATTAACCAAAACGTTCTTTCTGACAATTTTATTTTTCCAAAATAGAGATATATTTTTATTTTTTTAAACGAAATGCACGTATATCTCCCCCTTTTTATTTTAAAACGATAACACAACCTTGTTTCGAATTTCTCAAACATATCCAGTTTCCAAAATCCGATTCCATAATCTGGAAATGACATTTTGGGAAAATCGTAACGCTTCCGCTACAATGGATTGCGTTTGACTCTCCTGTAAACGACTGATGGTCTTCCAGTCTACCGATTCAACTAAGTCATCTTACTGAGACATCGAACTGACTGCTACAAACAGTCAACTCTTGTCAATTGTTTTTGATCTCCTACAACAAAAGGAATGTGCAGGTCGCTTTTCACTCCTTATCTTAAACGCATAGTTTTCGACGTCAGTGACTAAATTTGCATATTCCCAAGTTTGTAAACGTTATAACTTCACTTTATAATCTCTTCTATTTCCCTTTGTTCAAAAAGGTTATCGATTATATGGTTATTTCATACCGAACCCACAATATCCCCTAATTATTTTGAGCAGTAAATGTGACTGCATGACGTTACTCCGCAGTAGAAAAGAAACGGAACCTAAAACTCCACTACAGATCTATAGAGAAAATGTTTTTCCAAACCTAAGAGTCGCACTTCAAATACTACTTATTATTTCATTACCAAATGCTAGTTCATAGTACATAGTTATCAAATGCTAGTGTATACATAGTAATTAATTGTATTCATGTATTATATTATTATTAATAAATGTAAGTGCCCAACCAAGTCGAGGTGTACGTGATTGAAGCGAGATGAGGGCAAATTAAAATTTTTAAGTTGGCTGGTGGTGTGTCTGACAATTTTAGATCTTTGGCACTCCAAGCACGAACGTGTCCGGTTGGCTATGTCCTTTTGCATGCTAGGCCATACGAAACGTTGCTGTATCAGTTTCCTCGAAGCCTTGATGCCAGGATGTGACAGACGATGTAACTGACTAAAAATGGCATGACGAAACCCGGAGGGAAAGTCGAAATCTTGAATTCTGAACATCACAATAAAGTGATTTTCCAGGTGACAGCTGCATACGCTGCAAGTTGAGATTGGTGGAGGATTTGCTTTTTAAGAGGGTTTGCAGTTCTGAATCCCGGTGTTGTTCATCCGCAAGGACAGCAAAGTTTATTGGCAAAGGAACGGCTAGTTGTTCAATACGAGGCAAGGTGTCTGCAACAATATTCTGCGAACCCTCAATATAACGAATATCTGTTGAAAATTGCCACGAGAAGAAGCTTCATCCAAACGCTGTTGAAAAGTACAGTTTAAGAGTTTGTGATCTGTGAAGATCATGAAAATGCGTTCCTCTAGCATAGGTAGAAAATATTTGACAGCTTCATAAATTCCCAATAATTCGCGATCGTGAGTGAGAAAAATATGAAAGTGGTATCCATAATTCTTGATCTTTCTGTTGTAAAACTGCTCCTATACCTGTTGTTGATGCGTCAACTTGTAGAGACATTAGGTTATAAGCAGAAGATATGAAAAATATGCAACGCCTTCTCCGGGAATCGAACCGCGGACCTCTGAAGTACCGGCCCAGCGTGCAGAACCACTACACCACGAAGGAATGCTAGGAAAGCGGGAGAAATATCTTATAAACGTAAAGTTATAATAGTTTA